CAGTTGTGATCCAGAGTGGCATTGGGGAGGGTGTTGCAACTCTTGTGCTAAGACTCTTTCAGGTCGCAATAAGGGAGTAGTCAGAAGCGGAAACTTTATGAAGCAGATTCCTTCAAATCTCCAAATCTCTCTTAAGGTTTTTCTTTTCCTGAGAGAACAATCTTGTGTTTTCTCAGGTTTTGCTTTTCACCTTGCTGCATTACAAAAAAAAAAAAAAGCAAAAGACACTGGTGGTCGGCACTCCTGGTTTCCAGGATGGGGTTCAAGTCCCTGCGGTGTCCTTGCTTGCTTCCAATGCAACTCTTATATGTTTCACCTCTTTCTGTCCTTTCTGTGCTTTTGTGATTTAGCAAAGATTATAGGATGTGATTTTACTGATAGATTTCCTATAAGGACATTGCATATGATTTAAACACAGTAAGAATTATATTAGGCAATTACTCCCATTTCAGCCAGTATGGTGTAGTGGTTAAGAGCGGTAGTCTCGTAATCTGGGGAACCGGGTTCGCTTCCCCGCTCCTCCACATGCAGCTGCTGGGTGACCTTGGGCCAGTCACACTTCTTTGAAGTCTCTCAGCCCCACTCACCTCACAGAGTGTTTGTTGTGGGGGAGGAAGGGAAAGGAGAATGTTAGCCGCTTTGAGACTCCTTAAAGGAGTGAAAGGCGGATATCAAATCCAAACTCCTCTTCTTCTTCTTCATTAACTCACTATTTGTGGGTGTGGTGCTGGCAAAAATTGTCATGCTCACTTCTGTAGGTTTTTGATAATAAGGTAGGATTCTTCTCTTTTAGATCAAGGTGTATATGTATGGTAGGAGATGCTGCCTGCTTGAGCTGTGATTTTGCGGTCTGAAACATTTATGTATAGTAAACCAAGCTTTCTTTTCTTAATGTGTCTCAAGAGTCTCCACCCCATCATTCTGCCCGGATGCTGAGGTCCAGCACCGAGAGCCTTCTGGAGGTTCCCACCCTGCGAGAAGCAAACTTACAGGGAACCAGGCAGAGGTCCTTCTCAGTAGTGGTGCCTGCCCTGTGGAAACCTCCCATCAGATGTCAAGGAAATAAAAACTATCTGACTTTTAGAAGACATCAGAGGCAGTTCTGTTAGGAAGCTTAATATTTGATGAATTATTGTATTTTACTAATTTGCTGGAAGCCGCCCAGAGTGGGCGGGGTATAAATAATAAATTGTTGTGTGTTGTAATTTGTTCGCCTCTAAACACTACTGGCTTGCTGCCTGGCATTTAAAGGTCTTTAGGATCGCCAGCCAGAATAAATAAAGTATCGGGGTGTGTCAGGAGTTTTATTTAGGCAAGAATAGGGGCAAACACGGGAGCGCGGGTGGCGCTGTGAGTAAACCTCAGCGCCTAGGACTTGCCGATCGTCAGGTCACGGTTCGAATCCCCGTGGGGCGGGGTGCGCTCCCGTTGTTAGGTCCACAGCGCCAAAGCATTCGAAGCACCCCGCGTGCAAGTAGAGATAATAGGAGAACCGCTTACTAGCGGGAAGGTAAACGGCGTTTCCATGTGCTGCGCTGGCTCCCAGATGCAGCTTGTCACGCTGGCCACGTGACCCGGAAGTGTCTCCGGACAGCGCTGGCCCGGCCTCTTGAGTGAGATGGGCGCACAACCCCAGAGTCTGTCAAGACTGGCCCGTACGGGCAGCGGGTACCTTTACCTTTACCTTAGGGCAAACACATTCATGAACTTACACATATTATAACCCCAGCAAAAGACCCAAACCCTCTGTTGGTGTGTGCATATGAATACACGTTGGAGACGTATGTGGGTTTAGACACATACTGTTACAGTTCCATTTACAGTCCAGAGAAGAGCCATCCAATGGTGTTATTTCCTTTATTGAGCTTTTATTAATGCCCTTGAATTTTCTGATGTATGGGAAGCCAGGCTATAAAGTATATAAACATTAAAAACGTGGAGAGGATCAAGATGATGATGGATAGGAAAGAGAAAAACAAATTCAAGTGCCAGCTTGGCCAATGACAGAGATAATGGAATACCGAACGAAAAAATCTCAGACGTGATTGAACATGAAACATTTAATGCTTTTATACATCCCTCATAAGATTTTCCAAGAGGGTACATAAGGAATGGAACTTTTGGTGCTTGTGAAGAAAAAGATGTACTCATTCTCTCTCTAGTTGAGTTTTCCCTGTTGCATTGATAACACAAATAAATATAGCAAGATTTTCTCTCCCTATATACCCACTAACTCACCAAAAACACTTTGTTCTGTCAGAATCAAACCATGGCCATACTCATGCTTTTGGAAAGTCCAGTGTATGAAGTAATAAAACCTTTGAGAAGAAGAATAATTAAAATCCTACAGGAGCAACATCTAATTCTGATTTACATGGCAAGCCAAAATATATTAAACTGTAAAAACTACTGATTTTTCACTGGATAAAAATATAATAAACTAGCTAACTAGTCTATATAAAAGTGTCTTTGAAAGCATCTACAAAGATAAAGACTAAGTGAAATTGAGAAAGGCAGAAAGAGGTTTTTTTTAAAAAAAAATTATCAAAATACTCTGTGCAGTTTATAAATATGCACAATTTTGAGCATACAACCAACGGGCAGCATTTGCGATGGAGGTAAACAAATTGCTCAGATAATGGCCCATAGCTTAAGATGCATTGTAAAAGTTAACAATGCAGCCTTGTACCTATTTATGCAGCAAAAGGCACTTAGCTAGGTGATCTGATATTTTTCTTTGCTGTGAAATATAACCAAGAAAATAGGTTTCATTTGTCTGCTTCTTGACCCCCTGGTGTTAAGGAGGATGACTGCAAAGAGGAACATTTACAAACAGGCTTCCTCTTTGAAACCTAACCAAATCTGAGGCACACCTGCAACAGCATATGCCAGTGACTCTGGCCTTGGATTCCAAACCTATCCTAGGTGCTGTGAATATGACTAAGCATGCCTCTTATCTTTCTGTCCTTTCTGTGCTTTTGTGATTTAGCAAAGATTATAGGATGTGATTTTACTGATAGATTTCCTATAAGGACATTGCATATGATTTAAACACAGTAAGAATCCTATTAGGCAATTGCTCCCATTTCATTAACTCACTATTTGTGTGTGTGGTGCTGGCAAAATTGTCATGCTCACTTCTGTAGGTTTTTGATAATAGGTAGGGATTCTTCCTCTCTTTAGATCAAGGTGTATATGTATGGTAGGAGATGCTGCCTGCTTGAGTTGTGATTTTGCGGTCTGAAACATTTATGTTAGTAAACCAAGCTTTCTTTCTTAACGTGTCTCAAGAGTCTCCACCCCCATCATTCAGCCCGGATGCTGAGGTCCAGCGCCGAGAGCCTTCTGGAGGTTCCCACCCTGCGAGAAGCAAACTTACAGGGAACCAGGCAGAGGTCCTTCTCGGTAGTGGTGCCTGCCCTGTGGAACACCCTCCCATCAGATGTCAAGGAAATAAACAACTATCTGCCTTTTAGAAGACATCAGAAGGCAGTCCTGTTGAGGGAAGCTTTTAATATTTGGTGAATTATTGTATTTTACTATTTTGCTGGAAGCCGCCCAGAGTGGCGGGGTATAAATAATAAATTGTTGTTGTTGTTAATTTGTTCGCCTCTAAACACTACTGGCTTGCCTGCCTGGCATTTAAAAGGTCTTTAGGATCGCCAGCCCAGAATAAAATAAAGTATCGGGTGTCAGGAGTTTTATTTAGGCAAGAATAGGGGCAAACACATTCATGAACTTACACATATTATAACCCCAGCAAAAGACCCCAAACCCTCTGTTGGTGTGTGCATATGTATGAATACAGTTGGACACGTATGTGGGTTTAGACATTTCAAGTCCAGAGAAGAGCCATCCAATGGTGTTATTTTCCTTTATTGAGCTTTTATTAATGCCCTTGAATTTTCTGATGTATGGGAAGCCAGGCTATAAAGTCTATAAACATTAAAAACATGGAGAGGATCAAGATGATGATGGATAGGAAAGAGAAAACAAATTCAAGTGCCAGCTTGGCCAATGGACAGAGATAATGGAAACCTAACGAAAAATCTCAGACGTGATTGAACATGAAACATTTAATGCTTTTATACATCCCTCATAAGATTTCCAAGAGGGTACATAAGGAATGGAACTTTTGGTGCTTGTGAAGAAAAAGATGTACTCATTCTCTCTCTAGTTGAGTTTTCCCTGTTGCATTGATAACACAAAATAAATATAGCAAGATTTCTCTCCCTATATACCCACTAACTCACCAAAAACACTTGTTCTGTCAGAATCAAACCATGGCCATACTCATGCTTTTGGAAAGGTCCAGTGATGAATGAAGTATTAAAACCTTTTGAAGAAGAATAATTAAAATCCTACAGGAGCAACATCTAATTCTGAATTTTACATGGCAAGCCAAAATATATTAACTGTAAAAACTACTGATTTTTCACTGGATAAAAATATAATAAACTAGCTAACTAGTCTATATAAAAGTGTCTTTTGAAAGCATCTACAAAAGATAAAGACTAAGTAGAAATTGAGAAAGGCAGAAAGAGGTTTTTTTTAAAAAAAAAAGTTATCAAAATACTCTGTGCAGTTTATAAAATATGCACAATTTTGAGCATACAACCTGGGGCAGCATTTGCGATGGAGGTAAACAAATTGCTCAGTAATTGCCCATAGCTTAAGATGCATTGTAAAAGTTAACCGATTGCAGCCTTGTACCTATTTATGCAGCAAAAGGCACTTAGCTAGGTGATTTCTGATATTTTCTGGTGATTTCATTTGTCTGCTTCTTGACCCCCTGGTGTTAAGGAGGATGACTGCAGAGAGGAACTTTACAAACAGCTTGCTCTTTGAAACCCTAACCAAATCTGACCACACCTGCAACACATATGCCAGTGACTCTGGCCTTGGATTCCAAACCTATCCTAGGTGCTGTGAATGACTAACATGCCTCTTAAATAAAATCCAAATGTCTGTCAAACACCCATTTGGTTCAAGGGTGGGGACATGTTGGAGAGGGGCCTCCGGTTGTTTCTGGACTGCAACTCCCATCATCCCTGACTCCTGGCCATGCTGTCTGCCGGGGCTGATGGGAGTTTGGAGTCCAACAGCATCAGGATTCCCATCCCTGATTTAGTGTTTGAAATGAAACCTTCACTTTTAAAACAAAATTACATTTTATATGTAGATTACAAAACCGAGGGGCATCAACAGAGGGCCATGGAACAGATGCAACCATTTCTTTTCAACACCAGTTTTTAAGGAATGCGTCGCGTTCAGAGTCTGTTTCCTCTCAAATGCTCCTGGGTGGTAAACGCTGCTTGTACATCCTGCAATAGCTTTGGCTGTACTGTAGATCATCTGTCGTCGGGACATGCCAGTGAATGCAGAGTGCCAATCCGTTCTGTTGACGTGCAGTAATTGCTTCTCTATCACTTCCCCCACTGTCACCAAACAAACCTGACCATCTTAGGTTATAATCCTGAGGAGTTAGACTTTGAGCCTGTGAAATAATTTAAATCTGGAGTGAGTACAGGAGAAAAGGAGAAGCACCTGGGCAAGTTCAACCTCCTCCAGAGCTATATCGCCATAGTTCAAAGTTCATTCAAAAGCATAAATAATACTGCTGCTGGCATCTGACTTAACAAGTGTAACAGTCAAAGTTCTATAGCAGCTATACGTTCTATAGAATTTAAAGTGCTGCTAGTGAAATTTGTTGTGAAGAGAACCTCTGGTTTAACAGGCTATGGGACAACAGGAACACTTTATTTTCTCCTTTTCAGGAACAAATTGGCCAAACTTTCACCCAGTGACAGCAGATTATAGGCATTTTTTCACAGCACCATCAGTGCCCATGACTAGGTTCTCTGAGATGAGGTTGAAAGAGCTGGGTACGTTGGTACGTTTAGCATGGAGCAGAGATAGCTAGAAGGCTCTGACATTTGCTTTCTGGTGCTCCAGAGGGTGGAAGTGGAACCAATGGGCCCAAATCAGAAGGGGAATCTCACTAAACATGAGCCTACGATAGCTCAGTTGGTAGAGAATGAGACTTTTAATCTCAGAGCTGCGAGTTTGAGCCCTGCATTGGGCAAAAGGATTCCTGCATTGCAAGGGGTTGGACTAGATGGTCCTTGGGGTCCCTTCCAACTCTACAATTCTGTGATTCTGAGCCTCCTGGCAGTGCAGGATGTTCAAAGGTGCCTCAGAATGAATGAGGCTGACTCGCTGTGGTTTTTAAGCCCTCCAGCCTACAGACCATCTTAAGGAACATCCCCCAATGCTTACTGCCAGCTCACTCACAAATGTTCAATATATTAAGAGGCATAGATATCAATCAATCAAATGTAATCCACATTTTTTAAAATATGTGCAATGAAAGAAACACTAAAGGTAATAGAATTTAATGGCAATCATTTTTAGAAGTGTGTCAAAGTGCAAGTAGATAAATAGGTAGATAAATACCTCCGGCGGGAAGGTAAACAGCGTTTCCGTGCGCTGCTCTGGTTCACCAGAAGCGGCTTAGTCATGTTGGCCACATGACCCGGAAGCTGTACACCGGCTCCCTCGGCCAATAAAGCGAGATGAGCACCGCAACCCCAGAGTCAGTCACGACTGGACCTAATGGTCAGGGGTCCCTTTACCTTTACCCTTTTCTACTCCTAGAGTGATCTTCTGGGGTTCTTGGCTACCATCCCTTAGAAGAGGCTTTACCAACCTGCTGCATTGGAAAAGGATGCAGCCCCTTAGAGATTAAAGCTTACCTGTTGTACATATTCCAAAGGCACTGGCGTTGCCTGTGTAAATGTTTCGAGGTGAATGCCATGGATGGGATCCTCGACAATTAGGCAGCCAATATCAAACCACCTGTTACAGTGACAAAAGGTTTATTATCAAATCATATTAAATACGAATTCCGCGTATTAACTGTCTAGAGAGCTTAGTAGTTTTGAAAGGCAGGCAGCCAAGGCACCTCCACTAACACTTTCCCTTTGGAAACAATTTTTAGTTTTCCCAGCCAAAAGCTAACAAGGAAGAACTAGCTTTTGTTCCAGAATTTATAGTCACGTTCCAAACTCTAAGGAAGTTAATTACAAAATGTCAGAGGTCTGTTCCGGCAGGGTTTTGCTTGCTAAACATTGCAGGATCTGGCCATGCTTGAAAGTGAATTATTTAATTATGGGTTATGCAAACTATGCCCAGTTTTAAGCACTAGGGACAAGAGGGTGAATTATACCAAGCAACTGCAACAGGCAGACAACTCTTATTTCAGCTCCTGTTTAGAGTATCAACAAGTCCTGTGGATATGATACTAATTGACTTTTATCTTGAGTAACATGTTAAATGGCCTTACTTGTCAGGAAGCAATTCCGCAATGAAATTTTCCACAGACACGGCAGGCTGCTTCTCATGAATGACTCCTGTCCTGCGCAAGCTGTCAATCCTTTCTTGAGCTCCCTAAAGGACAAGGAAAAGAAATAGTCAATACAGTCAATACAGCTCTCATTCAGCACTTACTGCTTGCGATGAACCTTAGCCAAAAGCAAAATCAAGGATCTGAAGTAAACCAACTACAAATATTCAGGTTTACAGAAGGGAAATGGGACACTCAAATGCAATCTCAGTGTGTCTTTGGTTCCTTAGTGACCAGGTCCTTATTTTGTGCTTTCATAAAAATGGATTATGCTTTGTTTCATTTTTGTAGATTATAAAATGTAGTCGTGTGAAAAAGAAAACATTGCCAAAGAGTTATTAGGTTCTACATTGTTGTGTATGAAACACGTGAAGACACATTTTAAATGATTTTTTAAAATATCACAAAAGTGATACAAATCTCCAGGAAACGACGGCAACTCGCCTTCAATCCAGCTGCGTAGCCAACTGGCTGTGGCGCAATGTTGGACTGCCCAGCTTCTCCTGTAACTGTGGCCATTCCAAACACTTCCTGAAAAGCTTCTCTTACAGCAGCAACCTTGACTTCTTTAGTAGAAGTGACTACAATGTCCAGTTCTCCCCCAGATTCTATAACAAAAAAACATTAAAACATAATCCTATACAGGCAGATACATTTAGACCGTGGGGTGGGGTGGGAGAGAACTTGTGCTTGCCAGTCAGGATCCCTCCCTTTTCTTGGCAAAGCAATTATCTGGAGATGGACCAGGGTGCATGTTTATTGTCATCTTTCACACACACGTCTCAAGGCAACACACTATATATATTTAAAATGGCACAGAAAACAGCAGACAGCAGCAACTACCTTTAAAAATCTATACATTGCAGACACTCATGGCAGACACACACACACACACACCAGTCTAGGTGTTGACCGAACAAAAATGTCTTCAATTCTTGCCTGGAAGGTGCAGATAGCAGGCACATATCAGGACAGCTGCAGCCATACTAAAAGCCCTGCATGATGCTCTGCTATGGCTTAGTGAGATGTGAATGAGTGGCTTCCATTTGAGGTTACCCACTCAAATGGAAGCCACTCATTGGTGTAGTGGTTAAGAGCGGTAGTCTCGTAACCTGGTGAACCGGGTTCGCTTCCCCGCTCCTCCACATGCAGCTGCTGGGTGATCTTGGGCCAGTCACACTTCTTTTAAGTCTCTCAGCCCCACTTACCTCACAGAGTGTTTGTTGTGGGGGAGGAAGGGAAAGGAGAATGTTAGCCGCTTTGAGACTCCTGAAGGGGAGTGAAAGGCGGGATATCAAATCCAAACTCTTCTTCTTCTCTTCTTCCCCCATCTCCTGCATGGCCAAGAGTCTGGAAGCTTCCACAATGCTGTTTGTCAGATCATCTAGACCAATTGTTAATCCTCATTATGGTTACCTTCAAACAAACCAACTTCAAACCATGGCTTCAGGAAGCCAACTTGTTTAAACTAACCATAGTTAAGACTGATGACTGTTCTAGGTCTGAATGACATGCCAAGCTGTGGTTAACTGAAAGTGGAAGCAAAATATCCCCCCCCTTCTTCTCCTGACCATGTGTGAGAAAGATGGGTGAGTGGGGGAGCACATAAGGCTGGGAGGAGGCCAGCTAGACTCACTTCTCACAAAACCAAATGCAGCCATTGGCTGCTACAACCACTTGTCCCGCCACTAGATACCCAATACTATCAAATTAGCGGCTGTTGTAACTTCCTTCATGAGTTCACTCTTCGAAACACACCAGTAGCAACATCAGTGAAGCTTGTATTGCTATGAAGATGCACTTGACAAATCTGCAAAATGCCTCCACTGGCTGTGTGGCCTGATGTTTGTAGGAGGAGTCGAGATTGTGATCCATCAATTAGAAACAGAAAGAGACAATGTCTCATCAACCAACAACCCCAAAAGAGAGGCTTTGCTGCAGCCTAGGTTTGTGAGGGCCCAGAGTAGGACGAGTTACATGCTGCCACCCTCCCCAAGGCCCACAGGCTTTCTTCACTTACTGATATAGGGAGCCATGCCAGGATCCAGAGTTGTGATCATTGTCTCCATTGAGTGCTTGGTTTTATCCAGCACGGACTTCACCACAGGATTCCCCGCCACACCCTGCAGGGAAAAGGCACAACTCATTCAGCTCCTTTTGCTCTCAAGGCTATGCCTGATTCAGCCATTTGCTTCTTGCAGATGTTGTATTTCAGACCCTCCAAGTGTCCATAATTTCCAGGGACAGTCCCAGATTTACAGAAGCTGTCCCAGTTTCTGATTTGATCCAGAAATGTCCTGCTTTTCCTTAGGACACCCCTACTTTCATTGGAGAAATGTTAAGAGGGGACATCTCTATTTTCATCAGAGAAATGTTGGAGGGTGTGGCATTTTTTACTTTGAGGGTGGCCCTGGGATTGCTACTGAGGTGAAGAGCGGCTTGTCAATATCTTATACAAGTAAATATATTACACCAGCTCAGGGAATGCAAAATACAAGTAGAGAGATTGAGGGCACGCATGCTGGCCCCACTCTCAATATCTCTGTGTGCCCCAACCCCCATGTGCTCAAACTCAGAACAGTCTAAAAACTACAGTGGTACCTTGGTTTGCATATGTCTTGGTTTGCATACATTTTGGATTACAAACACAGCAAATCTGGAAGCGCGTTTCCTGGTTTGCAAGCTTTTTTTGGATTACAACCCTTTTTTTTTTTGGATTACAAACAAATTTTTTGGGGAGGCCCCATTGGCGAAAGTGCGCCTGATAAAAGGATCTGGAGAACTCAAAAACCTGCCTCACTTCTGTAATATCTGCTTGGTCACAATGAAACTACTGACTGTGTGGTTTGGAGGCTTTTCTTATGGACCAGCAGCACAGCTACCTTTGCTTTTCAGCCTTACTTTGATAAAGCCCCATAGTCCTCCTCCAGCAGATGCGTCACTCTGCACAACAGCTCCCCGGGGGTCTTCGTGTTGCTCTGGGAAAGTAATTGAAGAGCCTGCTCCAAAGCCAGGTGCCAGTGGGGGTGGCCCACAGGGCTGCTGTGATGCCGGGCCGGTGAAGACACCTGAAAACCAATAGCAGGAAACGTTTTGCATAACCCACTATGGTTCACAACTGCTGTAACCTGCCTTGTCTTATTCAACAATTAAAATAATACTGCACATCTTCAGTTTTCCAGAAAAAAACCTGTTTATGTCGAAAGACCTTTACCAGTTTAAAGACACAATTTGAGTTTGGAGGTAACTGTACAATGGAAGAGACTGCCACATTCTGACCACGTAAAACTAGTGGCGCTTTCAACCCTCATACAGGCCTGTCTCCAACCTCCATCTTGGCAAGCAGGAGGCATTATCACAGTTCAATAACACCTTCCTTTTTTATTATAATATTTATTAAGTTTTCCAATTTAATAATCCAATAAAAACCACATTAAAACATTCCAAATTACAATTAAAAAGCCAAATATAATGCCGAATTTTATATCTTTGGGTGACTTCCCATGCTGTGAATTTCACGAAATGCTGATCATCTAATATCATACTGCTTTTCTTAATTAATCAACAAGCCATTCCGATGTTATCAATAACACCTTCCAGCCTGGCTAAAGTACCTGAGGAGAACTGGTGTGAGAGGAGGGAGGGGGAAATGTGGGCTGGGGAACATCCTAAGGGCTGTATATATCCCACAGCCTAGAAGTCAACCTCAACTGAAGTCAAATACAGTGTTTGTGGGTTTAAAAAGTGGCTGAAAACAGCTTAGGACCTGGTTAGATCTGTAAGACCAGGTAAGATACTGGTCTTACACATGGGGCCATTCTGACCATACCATGACCTACATAGCTCCTTCTGATGTGCATGTGGAGAGGGAGTGTTCTCTGTTGTGGAGCCTGTAATGTGGAACACTCTCCCCAATGACAACAGGTGAGCAACAACTGTTGGGTGTTTTCACAGTCAACTGAAGACACAGGCTTGCTTTGACCCTCACTACTGGTCTCTGGAGGTGGGAGGCAGTGGAAGACAGAAGTGCCTGGCGTGCTTTGGTCCATGGGGTCACGAAGAGTCGGACACGACTAAACGACTAAACAACAACTAGTCTCTGGTGTTTTATTGTGTTTTAAATATTCTGTTGGGAGCCGCCCAGAGTGGCTGGGGAAACTCAGCCAGATGGGAAGGGTATAAAAAATTATTATTATTATTATTATTATTATTATTATTATTATTAATAATAATAAAAAATCAGTGATGATTTTACTGATGTTATTGACAATTCTTTTTCTTGGACATTGTTATGTTTTATCACTATGTGAATCGCTTTGGTTTTCCATAATTGAAAAGCAGTGTAGAGAACATTTAATAAGTAGCATTTAAAAATAAAAGGGAGGAGGGAAGGCAACCCACGTGAGCATGGCCTACATAGATATGCATTTCCTGGTCAAGGTCCATGCAAGGTAGGGCAAGGATGCAGGAGCCAGTCCCAAGCCATTTGGAACCAGCCAGCATTTCCTGGGAGAGAATCAGTACTGGTTTCCTTGGTAAAACAACAAGCAATATAGATAAACTCTTGTTTTAAAAAGCCAAGTGAAAATGCTATGATTACCGGTAACTGAAGGTGCAGAAAACGAGGGCATCAGGGGCGTCTGTGGTGCTCGTCCCGCATGGCCTTTGGTGATGTCGTGGGTCGATGCCATAGAAAACCCTGATATGGGAGGACCAGTGGGAGGGGCGGAAAGCACAGGGCCAGGAGTTGAACTCAGGGGTGGAGGGGATGAGAACTGGGGACGGGGGCTAGTGAAAGGGGACGAGGCGACTGGCGGTGTCATCATGGGTGGCCTCGAGGTCCCAAGGGAGGCACCCGCTGAAAGGGCCATGGGAGGCACGAAAGGCAAAGGCACCGGGGATGTCGTCATGGATGGAAGAGAGGAGCCTGCAGATGGCAAAGGCGAAGAAAATGGTGCTTGGGAAGGAGGAAAAGAGGAGGGAGGAGGGAGGGAAGGAGTTAAGGCTGAGGGCGAGAGAGAGGAAAAAGAGAAGGCAAGTTTTAGTAGAGGGGCTTTTTTCAACTTTTAGAATTACATAAACAAAAGAGCTGCAGCAGAATAATAGAACTAAAACATCTTATATTTGTAGCAGATTAGCAAATAACTTATAGTAAGGAAAGAGCCCAACAGCTAAGAAGTCAAAGATTAACCATGTGACACAATGCATAGCCAGCTCTTCCTTTGCAAGCAAAGGTTTATTACTGAGCTGCAAATATTAAGCATTTTCAACCAACGAAGTTATAATTTAGAGATCAAACGGCATATGTTTTAAAATGCATTTGAAGCAGGTCATTGGATTGAAATGTTAACATGAATTTAAGTGACACTTTAAGTTCAAATGAAAACCCTCCCCAATTAATTAGTGTGGTTGGCAGCAAGCAAAGGCTCCAGACCCTTGAAGTTAGCACAGCTCCTCCTTTCCTTCTGAAATACCTTTTCTAAGCTCAATCCACTTTTTGAACTAAACTACCACTCTGACTTTGATCTGCCAAGACATGGCACGTAAGATAGCACTCGGCTGAGAGCAGCATCTCATACGTGCACTTTCCTGAATGCAGATGTATCCTGAATTCGGCTTTCTGGCCATGGGTGGGTGTGTACCAGTGGTTCCGTTCCTGTCAATGGTGTATGCTGGGTTCATATGCACATGTGGGCATGCATGTGGGTTCTGACATACACCTCATAACGCAAGGTGCTTTGATGTCCCAAGATCGGCCCATAAACCAGCTATTCCCCCCGTATCCTAAAATGAATGTCTGATACCCCAGCACAATTTCATAAGGAAGAAATGTACCGTATTTTTCGCCCTATAGGACGCACTTTTCCCCTCCAAAAATGAAGGGGAAATGTGTGTGCGTCCTATTGGGGCGAATGCAGGCTTTCGCTGAAGCCTGGAGAGCGAGAGGGGTCGGTGCGCACGCACGGCTTTAGGAAGCTTATCCGCAAGCCTTGGGAGCCCGCGGGTAGTTCCCGCTGGGCTCCCCCCGGCTTGCGGCAGAACTGCCTGCACCCCGGAGCCCTGGGCACACTGAGCAGTCGTGCCCGGCTTCGGGTAGCTCTGCGCAAGCCGCGGGAGCCCTCCCCCGGCTTGCGCAGAGCAGCCGTTCCAGGGGGCTGGGGGAAGCTCGGGCTTCCCCCGCCCCAGCCTCACGCCTGGGGGGGGAAATAAATTTTTTTTCCCTTTATTTCCCCCCCAAAAAACTAGGTGCGCCTTATGGGCCGGTGTGCCCTATGGGGCGAAAAATATGATAATTCTTAGCATCTTGCGCAAACCATTTGTGTCAGCTAAGGAGCTGTTGGGAGGGGCAAATAATAAAGTATAAAGCTGTCTGCCACCTACACATATATTTATATAGTCAGCAGCTTTCTTGACCGTTGTATTCCTCCCTGGGACGAGCTAGTGAAAGTGAGTTAGAAATACTAGAAAATAAGCAACAACTTAAATACTCTAAAAATAGTGTGAAAAAGTTTATTGGGCTAGGTCCAGATTTCTCCTGAGCAGAGTTCCCCTCATGGGATGCTCACCTGGAAGTGGGAGGACAGATTACTTCTGCCAGTCTCTTCTTCCCTTGCAGGCCCCTAAAATGCTGCTCTGAATATTTGCAAGATGCTCCAGAAAAGACTGAAAGGCAGGGCTGCAAAAGGGGCTAGCAAAAAAACCCTCCACCCCACGTCCAGCAGGATCCGAGTCCCTTCCAGAACGAGAAGGAGCCCTCTTTCAGAACTACTAAATTTAAAAGGGGGAAAAAACACCATTGTAACAAACAAGACTAGTCACCGATGAAACACTTATACCTAATGGAGACTGGGCAGTGGTGGTGGGTGCAGGCCCCGCCCCCCGCTGTGCTCAGTGGGGCGTTCCAGGTGGAGTCGTCTCTATCCCGCTCTCTTCCATCATTTCCTTCAGCAACACAGAGCTGGAAAGAAAGAGAAAATGGACTTGAAATGAAACAAACAGCTGCTGCATCGTGTACATCTAGTACTGGCTGCTTAAAACTGCCAATTTACAGGACCAGCAATAGGCCAAACCTCTGTCAGTACTTAAAATATGTCAGTACTCCAAGTCTGACTCAGAGGTGTCTGAACTTCCAGTGTGTTCAGACATACAGAAGAACAACAGCTGGTGCAATTTTTTCCAACCTGGCGCCTTTAAATTACGGATTTAAAGTGGTGGGTGCATGGACAACAATGAAAGCCAGTCAGAGGGGTAGACTATTCATTATTATTATTATTATTATTATTATTATTATATTTAAAGGTAAAGGGACCCCTGACCATTAGGTCCAGTCATGGCCGACTCTGGGTTTGCGGCGCTCATCTCGATTTATTGCCGAGGGAGCCGGCGTACGCTTCCGGGTCATGTGGTCAGCATGACTAAGCCGCTTCTGGCGAACCCAGAGCAGCGCATGGAACGCCGTTTACCTTCCCCGCCAGAGCGGTACCTATTTATCTACTTGCACTTTGACGTGCTTTGAACTGCTACGTGCAGGAGCTGGGACCCGCGAGCAATGGGAGCTCACCCCCATAGCGAGGATTCGAACCGCCGACCTTCTGATCGCTCGTGGGTTTATTATTATTATATTTAACATGTCCCTATTTTCATCAGAGAAATGTTGGAGGGTAATGGTTCTGGGAGGAAGGAGAGAGGAATATTTAGTCCAGGCATCCTTCATCAGCCTAGCCCACCTCACAGAGCTGTTGTGATAACCCTTGGGGCAAAATTCACCTTCTGTTAGCCTAATTTACTTCACAGGGCTGTTGTGAGGATGGAATTGGGAGGAATGGGGTGCCCACCCTGAGCACCCAACCACCCCATATCGGGTCAGGTATGAATTCTGGGCCTTCTACTGTCTAATCAACCAACCACCACTGCTGGCGGGGGGGGGGGGAGCCAGCAAGGAAGTGCAGAAGCAATCTCCCCCACCCTTCCCACCTTGGCTCCCTTTGTACAAGGGGCGGGGAAGTGGAGGCTCCAGGCATTGAGACTACAACTCCCATCATCCTCATCGTCTGTGATAACTGTCCAAGCTGGAGCCGATGGGAGTTGCAATTCAACAGCAGGGTCCGTCTGTCCCCACCCCACCCACCTTGGTCCTTTGTCATACTGCTGAAGGAGGCCAGGGGGGGGGGGGGGGTTAAGCGTCGCGTTTAAAGAACTACACTTCCCGCGCATGCACCGGGAGCCGCTGGCCTTGCGCACGCGCGCACCGGCATCTGTTCTGCCACGTCTTTGCGCCCCCGCTCACTAACTGAGAAGCTCTCTTCTCCGTTCTACGACCCTCCTTCTCCTCCCTGCGTCCCGTCACCCTTGCTCGCGTGGCCGTTACAGACAACGGCCCAGCAATCGGTTCACTAATAGTAGTAGTAATAAAACAAAACAAACCCACCTAAGAGTAAAAGCACCTCAGTCCCCTCACGCGTACGCTTCCGCCCGCCAGCCTCTTTTCCTCGCCTCACTGAAGCGGGTGGCGGGTAGGGAGGAAAGGGGTCGCCGCCGCGGCCTCCCACAGCCCGCCGAGGGGGAAGCTCTTCTTCGCTCTCCCGGCTCCGGGGGACTCAAATGGCGGAGGCGGGACCGGCGAGGCGGCGGCTTCAGCGGGCAGCCCGCAACAGCAACCACCCTCCTCTCCTCCTCCTCCTCTTCCTCCTGGGGACTGCCACGTTCGCTGCGGGCAGCGGGGGAGGAGCAGCCGCGGGCGGGAAAGGCTCGCGCCGCCTCCGCTTCTCTCCCCA